AATACATCAGGCCTGAAAGGAAAGCAAAGAGCTTGTTGTGTTTGAATTCCACATTAATCTACTTGGTGATGAAGCTATAAATCAAAACCTGGAAGTTTTACCAATCTGAAATTATGTGTTTAACATTTCAGCCCTTTCCTTCCTCCCTCTTGCCTGACATTGATTTGCACAGCCTTTTACAGCAGCAGGGCAGGGCTGCAAAATACTGCTTTTGCTCCTGAATCCCTAATTGCTCTTAGACATAAAGCCTTCAATGCAAGCAGGCTGAGGAATAATGCTGAAAGCTCCTTTATGAGGAGGAAGACCAGGTTCCTGATGGGCTACATGGGGCTGTGGGGATGTCTCAGAGCTCACTGTGAGGTGGTTGAAGAGTCTGTCCATTTATCAGTGCAAAACTGGTAGGGTAGATTTGGATTAGATATTAGGAACACTTCCCTGGAAATGTTCATGGCCAGGCTGGATGAGGTTTGGAGCAACCTGGTCTGGGAAGTGTCTGTGTCCAGGCAGAGGGTTTGGAAGTAGATGATCTTTAAGGTCCGTTCCACCCCAAATCATTCTGTGATTCTTTGAGTCTATCAGGTATTGAAGACAATTCTGCACTTGTTTCTATAGCCTGAAGTGGGTAATTTTATCTGTCATTGCCTCAGTTTCTACAGCAGTAAAATAGGCATGATATTATTTAACCACCTTTCTGAGTGGCTAAGAAGCAGTGTGTAAAAAGCACACAGCACTACTGTGTACAGTGTGAGAGGAATTAAATGTCTGGGGGTGGTATAACAGCTCCTTGAGAGACTGCCCTGTGTCCAGTGCTCTGCCTCTGACTTGGTAGGAGCAGCTGGTGGGACTTGAAACAGACATAAACACATTTTAACCAAAGATGTAGGTCCTGGCCTGCCTAATGTTCTTTGACACTGCACAGACATAGCCAGGAAATGAAACTATTTGTTGATGGATTTGGAGATTAAATAAATAGTGAAATATCTTCAGGATGTTAAAATGCAGAACTGACTGCCTATCCCATAATAAACCAGCCCTCCCCCAGCACTAACTGAAATGTATTTCCACAAAAGCGGGCACTGGGTGAGTTCACAGGGCCAGTTTTTCAGGAGGTCAGAGCAGCCAGACATCTTCTGGGCAGTGGTAAAAGTACACCCAACAGCTCTGTGGCATCTCACACAACTGGCTGTCTGAAAGACTCAACTGGGGACATTTATTATTTGCTCATTTCCTTTTTTCAAATGTGTTTCGATCATGCAGTCAGAAAGCCACATGAGGGATCACACAACACAATTAAAACATAGCAAGTGTTCATCTCAGTTAAAATACAGCAACTGGTGAATGTGAGCCCCACTGAAAACAGAGCAAGGCAAGGGGTTTGCTCAGGATGTGCAGATAAATGTAGCCCTGGGAATTGCAGTGGACTTGCAGGAGGGTTTATTTGCTGGCAAGAGAAATGCAGTCTGAGACCGGTGATGGTATCTTACTTCAGGGTATCAACAGCCTCTAGTTCTTGGATGTCGTGAGTAAAACAGCATCCCTTAAAGACACCGAGAAATGAAGTTTCTCAGCATCTCTGAAAGTAAATCCAGTTTGGAGACCAAGAATTAAGGCCAAAAAAATGATTGTTTTAACCTATTCTATAATAACTGCTTCTTAGAGTGTGATCTCAGCAAGTCCAGATTTCTGATTGCTGTGCCAGTTTGGATTTGAAGACTGAAATCTCAAGTAGGATGGAATCCTGACCACCACAACCAGCATCACCCCAAAACTGCTATTCCATCTTCCTCTGCTAATGCATTGCCACTGATTTCCCAAGAGCCAAGAAATCTAAGTTTCCCTTGTTAGAAACAAGGGGAATTACACTGATTATGTTGATGCCTGGAGCTCTTTTTCTTTTCTGTTGCATTGGCAGAAATTCTGGACTGTGACCTCTGTACAGTATTAGCTGTGTTTTCAGAAGGTTTGTAAATGAGATAGTAGAAGGGAATTACCAAATCCAGGGAAGTTTTTCAGGGTTTGTGTGGTGGTGACAAAAGTCTAGGGAAAAGACACATAAAATTTCTCCAAGTTGGTGTCCTACCCAAGGAGCCCTAGTCTTGGTTGGTGGTGCAAAGGAGGACCTGAGTCCTGCCCAATGATGGGTGACAGCATCATGAGTCCTACTCAGCCAGGAACCTGGCTGTGGGATATGCTGCTGTGGTACCCCCAAGTCAGTCTCAGCAAGAGTGAGCCAGCAAATGGCTCCAAAAGCACAGATGCACTGGGATGTGATTAATTAAAAAGAAAAGCATAAAGGAAAGGGATATATATATTTTCTTGGAGTATAAAACAGTTTTACTTAATTTTACAAAGCTGACTAATGTTTCTTTTTAGGGCTGTTCTGGTTCTGGTACCATGCAGAGGTCTTACAGCTGATCTGCTTGCCCCTCAAGATACATTAACAATAGGGATTGATATATTAATATAGTTATTTATTAATATATTGCAGCAACGAAACTAGCATGGCCAAGAGATTATTTGCTCATCTAAACAATAAACACTGGAAGAAGTCTCTGTCTCTGGGAAGTCATTAAATTAGCAGGATTTCTGTCCAAGTGATATGCTACCAAAATACCCTGTCAGCTTTTAAATTGGAGGAAGTTTGCTTCTGCAGTTAGGATAAATATATGTAAGTGCAGAGTTAGGAGTCAGTTTGTGCTGGCCACCAACAACACCACTGCTCCTGGCCCTCTGTGGTGATGAGCTATGAGCTGCATTTCCCAAGCAAACCTCCACCCAGCAGTGACTCTCCAGGTACCTGACCTATCATTTCAGGCTCTCTCCAAAGAATTGGAAGCTCATGGGCACTGACAACCAAAGATACGTGGTTTTACTGAGCTTTTGCAGATGTTCATTGACTCCGTCTGAGAAATGAGCAACTATTCAAGTCCACCCTGCCCTGTTAGTGTCAGGCTCCACTGGTGCTCGTTTGGGTGGGAAGGGAGGCACCCTTGTCCGTCCCATTTCCCTGATGACTCTAGCAAAGAGGGATAGTAGGATAATATGCCAGGAGTGTGATATAATGCCATGGGGGTTGGCTGAAGACAGGTAATGGAAAAAGTACACTTGTACTTGCGCTCATTGCTCACAAGAGAGTAAATCTGTTAAAAGACCACTGATCCCAGGAGTTACCACAGGCAGTAGCATCCCAGATGCATGGTGCCTAGGCTGGAGTAGGGTTCTTGTAATCAGAATCTGGGCACATCTGAAAACTAACTCCTTAGTTTTTGAGGATGGTTTTGTGTGACTGGAGGGTCAAAAGAGGATTCAGCATTTAGCTCTCTTGCTTCCCCTCTCCCAGGCCCACATGAGCTAACAGGTCTCAAATTCAGACTCCTAAAACAGGCTGCAGAGTACAGATGGGGCAACCTTGCAGCATAGGCAGCCTCTGAACAAGCTGATCAGCAGGTTCTTTGTACCAGCCATGACTAAGGACAGCCCAGGGAGAGCAGCTTGGTTCACCTGGAGCCATCACTGTGGTACCTCTCATGAAGGGGCCACCAGGGCAAGCAGTGGGACAAGGAGTCCTTCTGGGTTGTGGGTTTGTGTTACTTATAGGACAAACACATACTTAAAATAAACATGCCTCCCATGCCTGCTGA